GTATACAACACATGGTCGGGGGGAGGTTTGATGACTACTTGGTCCCCCCTAAGGTACATTATAAGGCATTTTTGGTGTGGCAGGTGTAGACGTCCTAAGTGGCGAGGAGTCACTCGGTGGCCTACAGGGCCCGTGTGAACTCCGATTGGCTTGAAATTTGGCGTGCTTACATAACTTACTAATACACACCTAGTTCCAAAGCCGCTCGGCCAAAATCCACCTACAACCCCAAAAACCCGATACAAGAAAATTACACTAGAAAGCTTTTAAAGACATGAAAGGAAAGCGAGTGGTGAGGATGGTTTGGACATGCGGCCATGGGTAACACACCCTGGACAAGCATGCCCACAACACCCTGCCGCCCTACTAGAAAAATGTTGCTGGGGCATATCAAAAGATCATTAACTTCGCAGCATCATACCATCATCAGGTATTGTTTGCTTGCTTATAATACGACTTAGATTACTGTCGACTTCCTATCAATGTAAGTTTGCTTTGGGAGTTTCACCAAGAATGAGAACTTGAGAAGTGTTGACTTCCCACTCCCATGAATAGTCTATCGTAGCTTTCTTATTCTATGACTTGCCTCAGATTTTGATGGTACATAGTTCTGTGTTTAACGTAGTGTACATGTTGATTGTTGACTAAAAAATAGGTTCATGGAGGTTGGTATTCTCGCTGGTTTGCTGATCGTTTAAGTCATCTTCAGGTGATTTTACAAGTCTTTCTATGGGTTGTTCTGAAGTACAGTTGAAAATTATTCTCAAGTTAAGAGTTATTTTGCTAACTATTTAATCAAGAATAGCTTAAAAACTAGCCAAATATGCTTTATGTATCAGAAAAGAAAACTGAGAATTATTTTTTCGTTATCATTCTCAAAACACCACCAAAATTTCTTCTCTGACCCATCTTCTCTTTACAGTCACTGTGGAATGAAAATGGAGGAGTGGTAGCTAATAAGGCATATCAAAAGGTTTGCTTCCTCGTGTTTTTGATCACTTGTACTATTTGAATCGATAACCTAAAGTTGAAGCTTCCTGTTTCGTGTCATTTTGATTAGTAATCAGTCTTACTTTCTGATGTTCTTATCTCAGGTTTTGGAAAGTAAAGCTCAAATATGGCAGTGGCTTGGTATCCACCCTTAGATTATTAAAAAAATTGTGAGTTATTATCCCTTTTTACTCTAGTTCAATCTGAACTAGTGTTGAGTTAATTTAATCAGTTTTCTTTATTAAAAAAAATATGGAAAAACCGATTGTAAATTTATTAGTGATGAGTTAACATTATTTAGTTATTCTACGTTTCAGTACTCGCAATTGAAAGCTTGTGTTGTAAAGAGAAGCAAATTAAAGTTATAATAAATTATAATGTGGTGTTTTCTAATAAACTATCTTGACACAGTATTTTCAATCGATTATCGAGGAACATCGATGGTCTAGTTGAAGAACTTTTTTTTTAGTACAATATGTTGGGGAGGGGACTCGACTCACGATCTCTTGGTTGGAGGTATGTGCCAATTACGCTGAGCCATGCTCGCTTTGACGGTCTAGTTGAAGAACTTAGTTTATGGTTGGATTATAAATATATTGTTTACTAGAGAATTAATGGTATTAAGGTATAAGATGTAATAGGGGTAAAATGGACTTCTGATCAAGCTGTGATTTCAAACCACTCGTAAAAGGCTACATGCAATCCTAAAATAACATACAGCGTATAACAGTGCAACTTCGAATTTATAATGAAGGAACTTTGAAATAATGAATAAAAATTAATCAATCAATTATTCTGTATCTTGGAGCTTACGTCCATAGATAAGAATATTGATAGATCAATTTTGTTGACAAAAAATTGAGTTTTGAATGTTGAAATTTATATTTAATATATTGGATACATTAAAGAGAAAAGTTATATTTTATTAATACATAAGATATATTGATAAAATATTTATTTGAATGAGATTTAAATTTTTTTAAATGAATTTTAATATATATGAGATGGTAAAAGAGCTAAGAAATTGAAGTGCAAATTTTGTAATTTTGAGTTTAAAGTCTTTAATTTTTAAGATAGGTCAAATTTTGTACAATTTATGTTTCATTTAGATTAAAATCTCACCAGTTATCGTAATGATTTAATTTCTGTACTTTCACTAAAGTATCGATTTAATCTCTGAAATTTAATTTGTAACGATTTAATCTATGTAAACAAGGTAGAAAAAGCTGATCGTTCTAATTTGTATGTAAATAACTTGTATGTGCTAATTTGTAAAATTTATCAAGTAAATGTAAATAACTTGTATGTGTTAAGACCGTGATTTAAATTTTAGAACTATTTGACCTCCTTGAAATCTGTTAATGGCGAAATTGTGGTGGCAGGATTTAATTCCTTAGGTTAAATTATATTTTTAGTTGATGTGTTTTTCACCGTCACTTTAATATAATTTTTATATATTTTTTAATACAACAAAGGTTACAATCAAGAATTGGACCTCTCATCTCAAAGAAAGTAATTAGTACTTATCTATTGGGATATGTGGGATCATAATTTCTATTCTCCAAAAATTCATTATCATTTTCTTAATACTATATTATTTTCTTTCTATTTTTGTTAATCCTTACCAATAATATATTAAAACTTGTAACTACTTTAAAATAACAATTATTTTTTTATTCAAGATCTAAACCAATGTCATCCTCCAAATTTCAAAGGTTAAATTTAAAAAGGTTAAAACTTATTTGAAAGGGAGACTCCAGTTATAAATAGATTTTAGAAATAGAATAATATATTAAAACTTGTAAGTACTTTCCAACGAATTATAATTCATTAATCACTTTAGTTTATCGTATAGCCCTCTATTATACATTTAATCATCGCAAATATTTTAATTATGATTACAAAACTTTCCATTTGAATAAATGACGCGCTGAGAGTGGGGCTAGTTTCGTCCAAAAGCTGAATTCTTTTTTCTTTCCTTTTTTTTTTGTTGAAGGAGAAAATTGTTTAGTTTTGTGTTCATATGATTTTTTTTAATTATTATAATGTGTTCATATGATTATATATTATTATTATAATATTATATAGTGAATTAAAACGTCGTTCTGTGACAAAATTCTGTTCATTTGAAACTGGAACGCCAATCCTACGACTGCTCCGTCCACGGCTCTCCGACATTTTCTTTCCCTCCTTTTGAGAGAGACAACGAAGCGTTTCTGACATGCAAATGGAAATCGAAGACTTTACAACACAAGTTATTGAATTCTATTCATTTCAGCGGGGTTATATGAATGCGTGATTGCTTTTTATCCTTTTCTTTTTCATGATTTGGATCTTGGAAGTGGACGGGGGGAAGCTGTAATAGTGAACCGTCGGTTCGTGGCTCCGGATGTTTGTTTCGTCGCCTCGAGATCGTTACGTGCGTATGATTTGTTAGCTCATTCCATTTTTTTTTTCATTTGGTTTTTGATTACTGAATTGAGTGTTTGGATTCCGATTCCGATTCCGTTTTCTGTTTCTATATGTTCATTTGGTGACTCGTAGTTTTGGTTTGTCGGATTGCTGCATAGTTTTCTCGGAGAGGAATCTATCCTGTACATTTTCTCTTCTTTAATTGTTATTGTGATTCTTTTTCTCCCGTGTATTGACTACTCGCACTGGTGTGTTTGCGTCTTCGATTTGAATTCATATCGTGTTGTTATTATTATTATTATTATTATTATTATTTCTGTCATTTGGAGGTGCGGGTAGGTCTAGCTTTAAGCTATAGTTTTGGGTTGGTTTGACTTTTGTGTGGAACTGTAGATTACTCGAGTGACGTTGGGCGTGTAGATTGGTTTTAGTTGTTGGAATGCTTCAGAGCATTGAATGTACTATTCTTCTTATCATGTATAGTTATCTTACCCGTGAATTCTTTGACTGCTTTTAGAGAGTCTTGTTGCAGAGCAACGATGTTTGGTATTATTGAAAATTTATGTGCTTTATGTTCTGTTTATTAGGGAAAATTGTTGGGAAGTAATTTGTCGTTCACAAAAAATAGAAGATATTAAGCAACCTTTGAGGCTAATTGATATTTCTAACGAACATGCTTATTGTAAAAGTTTCTATCAGTGTACTGGGCTTAGGCCTTGTGTACTTTTTATTAGGTTTTTACCCTGGAATGAATTATGATAATTTTGAGTTCTATAATCATTTGGAGCTTTACCTTTTCCGTGTAAGCTAGTCGGACAATTATTTAACTTATTACCTGGTTCTGTATATGCTATTAAATTGTAGGTTTCCTTCATCAGTCAATTTGCAGATTCTCTGCTCTCTGGTAGACTTTTGACATGCAATTCTCTCATTTAAGAAGCGCATATTGGTAGATAGCAATCATGGTGCAAATCAATTAGAAATATAGCTGCAGACTGCAGTACATTTTGTTGAAGATGAAGACAACTCAGGCATGGTGTCCTGGCGATTTGCAGATTTTGCCTGGGCCTCGACATCGCCCTCATATGAAGAAGCCTCTGTGGATCATCATCTTGGTCTCCTTCATCATTGTCTTCCTTATCTGTGCATACATGTATCCACCTCAAAGTAATAGTGCCTGTTACATTTTTTCTTCTAAAGGTTGTAAGGCCATTACCGACTGGCTTCCGCCTGCTCCTGCAAGAGAACTTACTGATGAAGAGATTGCTTCTCATGTTGTTATTCAAGAAATTTTGAATTCACCTATTGCACCATCCAAATCTACAAAGATAGCATTTATGTTTATGACTCCAGGGTCTTTGCCGTTTGAGAAGCTGTGGGATAAGTTTTTCAATGTAGGTTTTTGTTTTGTTCTTATCTTAGCTGTTTCTTACTCTTGTGTTTCAATAACTTGATATGTTTCTATGTTGCTTTTTCACTCTCAAGATTTTGCAATCTCATGTTTGGAAGAGAAGAATTCATCATACCATACTCTCAGTCCTTTCTCTCTTCTTAGGTTTATGGTATATTACATAGCCTAGTGGTAGCTGCGACAGAATCATGTTTAATTTGATGTGATACTGACTTTTGACAGAAATAATCAATTATTTACATGCACAGCATACTAAAAAACTATTTTCTTTTAATTAGTTTCATAAGCCACAGATATTTGATGTCTATCAAGCCTTGGAACACATAAAGAACGAAATATGTTTGAATGAAGGGAAGTCAGTTGTTTTGACATTGACTTGTTATTCTTTATATTGTAAATCCATAGCTCCTATAAATGTTATCCACAAACTGTTTTTTACCAGAAACTCATTCATGTCTCTTGGCAGGGTCATGAGGGCAAATTCACTGTTTATGTCCATGCATCTAAGGAGAAACCAACTCATGTCAGTAGCCACTTCTTGAATCGGGATATTCATAGTGATCAGGTGCCTTAAATTATGCTTAAAAAACTAATAGAGAGCTATTATTCTATTTGGCGTTAGAATGAAATCCCCAATGTCTCTGCATATGCTTGCCTGATGGCAAATTTTGCTCCTGTCATATGGATCATTCTTATGTGCCTTGTTTACTGTGTTGATAGGATGCCCTTCCTTTTTTCCCCCTCCCTCCCCTTATGGGAATGAATACACCTTTTCAAAATATAATTTTGATTCTAAGATTCTAACACGTCAATTTCTTCATAATATTTTCAAAGAAAAAATAGAGTAATTGTATTCTTTGGAAGAGTCATGAAATGAGGTAAAGTGTACTTCAGTTCTATTTTATTGTGACATGCACATTATCCTTTTTCTGAAGCCCCTTCCTTATGAGAATGTAAATAAGCGGACATGCAATTGACGGTTATTGCAGGTGGTGTGGGGTAAAATTACCATGGTTGATGCCGAAAAAAGATTGTTGGCAAATGCTCTTCAAGATCCAGATAATCACCATTTTGTTTTACTTTCTGATAGGTGACTGATATCAAACGTTTTTTCCTTTATATGAGTTGTTATTACATTCTTATCCTTAACTTTAATATCCTTTTATTCTGCAGTTGTGTACCTTTGTATAGTTTTGACTATATCTACAAGTATCTGATGCATTCAAACATAAGTTTTGTAGACTGGTGAGTATATCCCTTCATGCTTGATCTCCATGTGTCCATTTTATTATGACTTACGTGGAACAGCTATGACTCCCAACTTCCTTTTGAGAAATTACACGCACACGCCCGACTTCTAGCAGCTGGTCACTTATCAGATTGCAAGACTTTTGAGTTGTTTGTAGAATATTTCTAATAGGTTCAAAATTTTCTCTCAGCTTTCAGGATCCTGGTCCACATGGAAATGGCAGGTATTCAGAGCACATGTTACCAGAAGTGGAGAAGAAACACTTTAGAAAAGGTGCTCAGGTACAAATCATGTGAGAAATATTACAATTTATAAACTCTCTGAAAATTGCGTTGATTCATCCGACTTTCCACAGATTTGATTTGTTCCATGCTGCTACTTAATTTTTATTTTCTTGGAAGAATCCTTTTATACACTGATGGAAATACTTGTGTATTCTGGTACAATCTTTGATTTCTGTGCTTGTCTGGATTGCCGGTTTAACCATTTAAACATTTCAGTTTTCTCTTGATTATTTTTAGTCATTTGAAATGTTGCAAACCTTAAAATTTTTTAATTCTTTGATCGATCCTATCTTATTTTCTTTCTTTATTCCTTTTATTACTTGGGTTTTTGAAGTCATATTTCAAATAGTTGCTGCCTGATTGGATAGACCTAAGGATACATTGGTTCATACATCTGTCTATTTCGTCAGCATCTTTGACTTTAAGGCGTAGATTTGAGATTGAGATATTTCTTCTATGTGCATATGTGATAATTAATGAAATAGCTTGAAAATTTAAGCTCAATTTTCTTTATTTATGCAGTGGTTCACGTTGAAACGGCAGCATGCTATAATAGTAATGGCTGACAATCTTTATTACTCAAAATTTCGTGATTACTGCCAGGTGATTGTAAAATTATGTGTTTGTATTTCTGTTGCAAAATTAGGAAACTTAAATCTGTGTGGTTTTCTTTTACACTTCTTTTTTACATCTTAGTGGTATATTATAATGCTCTCTCTCTCTCTCTCTCACACACACACACAAGCAAGATGAGTTGAAATGTTTAGACTCATCATGTTCTTGTACATGCTGGGAAAGTTTTCGTTTGATTATATTTGCTAATTGCTCACAAGTATGCATACATGATTCCTCCTAACCAAACTTCATATCTGGATCGAATCATATATACTCTATTTTCTTTGGGTTTGATCTGTATTAGGAGTACAATTTGATAATCTTTTTTATTCTCTCTTTCATCTCATTGATATGTCCTGGTGCACTCATGTCAATCCCTTTCTGAGTGCTCACAAGTCTGCAAACACTTATCCTACTGAAAACCATTTATTGGTTGAGATTTTTTGTTAGTTTTTATATGTTTAACCATTTTTCATTTTTGTGTCAAGTTCTTGCCCTTTTAAATCTCTGCAGTTTTCATCTTCTCTCTTTCTCTCGTGTAATTGATCAATGATCATCATTAATAGTCAATTATGATAGATCCTCTGCCCATGTGGTTACTTACAACTGTGTATTGATATGTATATTCCCATCCACAGCCAGGTCTAGAAGGGCACAATTGCATAGCTGATGAGCACTACTTGCCAACCTTTTTCAATGTAAGAGCTTCTCCAAACGCATCTTACCACAGAGAATTTCCAGTTTTTCTTGCTAAAAAGTTCCCCTTTTTACATCCTTTAGATGATTGATCCTACTGGAATAGCAAATTGGTCAGTAACACATGTTGATTGGTCTGAAAGAAAGTGGCATCCAAAATCGTATAGAGCAGAGGACATTACCTATGAGCTTTTACAGAAGATTACAGTATGATTTCTTTATAATACAATATATTCACTTTCCGGTTTTCATTAGTGAAGCTCCAGAATATTAGCTTTCCTTATCAGTTTCAGTTTATCTTCTACTCGCCCTTGTGCTATAGCCCTACTATATGGTTAGGTGATTTAAAGAGGAAAAGTATTGTGGATGCTGATTAGTTTTCATGGTGCTATCTTTCCAGTCAATTGATGTGAGCGTGCATGTAACAAGTGACGAGAAGGTATGCTTTTTTGGTTATTAGAATTGAAGCTTTGTCGATGTCTTGATCTAATGGTTGTTTTCTGGGGCCTCAACAGAAGGAAGTACAAAAGTGGCCATGCTTGTGGAATGGTTTGCAGAGGCCATGTTACCTATTTGCAAGAAAAGTCTATCCCCAGGCTCTGGATAAGTTGCTGTATCTTTTCTCCAACTATACAACAATTTGAGTTAGGTTTTTATGTTTGTTTTTATTTCAAAGTAAAGTTTCAGATTCTTTGGCTGCATCAATAACTTCCGAGCCTTTGTTCTATCTGGTCTTTATATTCCGTTCAAGGTTGTAAATTCCTGGCCTTGGGGAGGATTTAATGTGACCGACCACAATTCTTGAGTGCATCGAGCTGCTTGCTGAGTGCCTATGGTGATCCTCAGATAGGAAGGAAGCTAACAAGTTGGTGTTGCTTCCTCGGGGATGAGCGATATATCATCTATATTTCTTTTTTACTTTCCTTTTTTGAGGCTTTTTCTTTTGTTACTTTTAGAACAAACGATTTTGGAGAAGAATATATCCATAGATCTTGTAGAAATATTTTGTAAACATGAGGTTCTGAATTTGCATCTTGCAACTTTTTATAAATATACTGTCTTTTGACTTTTGAGTTCCATATTTCTGTGCGGCAATTCAATCATAAAGCTCTGCAAATAGGATGGATACACAGGTCTGTTTCTCTATCTCAAAAAGTTTGGAAATGGACTAATTGCATCATTTCGTCTGTTAACTTGAGGTTGCCAGAAAGTTTTCCTGCTCTGCTTCTAGGTTCATTCAAAACCGACTTTCGGGTTCACTGGGCACTTTCAGAGACGACAGATTCGTTTTACCTGCAAAGTCAACTATCATTATGTGAGTCTTGTCTGGTAAGTTTTTAATTTTATGCAGCATTTTCCGCTCTGGGCTCTAAATATCTTCAGGATTCATCTGATGCTTATATTATAGACATTCACATTTCATATGGGAAACAGTTTCTATAATCTTCATCTTCCATTTCTCTCCATATCTCTGAATTTCTTACTTAGCACATGCCCTTCTTATGAACTGATACCTTAATATTTCTCCCCCTATCTTTACCTGCTTGTCTTTCTGGTTCTACATGTCTTTTACATGATATTTATTATGCATACAAGTGTTTGAGAAATCAACATGGTTCTATTCTTTGCCAAACATCAGCTTCTACATGGTGACTCTGTTGCTCTCTCTGCATCATCTTCTTCCTTTCCTAACCTCCGCATTTTATTTGTCCACAGCCGTAATCTCGTCCACCGACGTGACGACGAAGCCTTCACGTTTGGTGACTAAGCTCATCCATCGCAACTCTTATCTACATCCACTCTACGACCCAAATGAAACAGTCGAAGATCGCTCAAAGAGAGAGGAGACAAGTTCAACCGAACGCTTTGCTTATCTCGAATCCAAGATTAAAGAATTGAACTCTGTTGGTGGCAATGAGGCTCGAGCAAACCTCATCCCTTTCAATCAAGGTAGTGGATTTCTCGTTAATTTCTCAATCGGTCAGCCACCCGTGACGCAGCTTGCGGTGGTCGACACCGGTAGCTCCCTCTTGTGGGTGCAATGTTTGCCTTGTGTCAACTGTTTTAGGCAATCTGGGTCATGGTTTGATCCTCTAAAGTCATGGAGCTTCAAAATATTGGACTGTGACTTTCCTGGCCATAACTACGTTCGTGGCTACAAATGCAATGACTTTCATCAAGCTGAGTACAAATTGAGGTACCTTGGAGGAGATACTTCAGAAGGAATTCTTGCTAAGGAATCACTTCTCTTTGAGACACCCGATGAAGGTACACTTCAACCCAAAAAATTAATGAATAATTTGGTTTTTTTTTCCTTGAAGACGAAGAAAAGCTATTCAACATGACAAATAGTAGAAAGTATTTTCAAATGCAATTTCTTGAGATTGTCACAGAACCTTAACCAACTGGGTTGAGTTGGTGGTTCAACTAAGTAAAACTTTGTGTCTAGCCCATAAAGTTGTTTGGGTCATCATAGAATAGAAATATTTTAGTGACATGAATGGATTCTCTTATTTTAATCATGCCATATACCAATGGCCAAAAAGAAAAAAGGGGAAAAATTCATAGTAATAGGCAGAAGCCTGAGCACCTTGTCACTTGTATATATATGTATGTGTGTGTATATATATATATATATATTACTTATTTATTGAGTTAGGACGATTTCTAAAGAAGAAAAAACATGAGCATTTTAAAAATGCTTACCAACACTAAAGTAATATTTAAACCTAAATTTAACTAGAAAAAATAATAGTCCTAATCATCGACCCTTTTGGTATTTCGAAATCATTTTGAATGGTGACCTATATACTAAAATGTCAAACATAAACCGAAAACTGAGCTAAACTGACGTTGAGTTGCGAAGAGTGCAAACAAAGTCCTAAAAAATGGAGGGTACGAGACCTTTCGAGTAAAACAAAAAGAAAAAAAGAGGGTTATGTTCAGAACCTACCTATCATACCATTTAATTAATTTATTTGGGTACCTGGGCACCGTTATTCTTGAGACTTTCTATTTTTTTTTTCCTTAATTTAACAAAGGTGGAGTTGAAATCTGAACCTTCGTCCACTGATCGGTTAAAATAAAAATGTGTGAAACTTTTGTTGTGTTATGTTCACTGTGCAGGTAAAATCAGAAAGGCGAATTTAACATTCGGGTGTGGCCATATGAACACCAAAACCAACAGAGACGACACCTACAATGGCGTCTTTGGGCTCGGCGGCTATCCCCACATAACAATGGCCACTCAACTCGGCAACAAATTCTCGTATTGCATCGGCGACATCACCGATCCTCTCTACGCCCACAACCACCTTTTTCTGGGCCACGGCGCTTTCATCGAAGGCGACTCCACCCCTCTTCAAATCATCTTCGGCCATTACTACGTCTCTCTGGAGGGCATCAGCGTTGGATCCAAGAGGCTCAAAATCGACCCAAATGCCTTCCAAATGACTTCAGACGGCAGAGGCGGCGTTCTCATCGACTCTGGAATGACGTACACCAAGCTCACCAATGGCGGATTTGAGCTTCTTTTCGACGAGATTGCGGATCTCATGAAGGGGGTTTTGGAGCGCATCCCGACGAGGAGGAAATTCGAGGGGCTGTGTTACAAGGGAGTTGTGGGTCGAGATCTTGTTGGGCTGCCGCCGGTGACGTTCCATTTCGCCGGCGGCGCCGATTTGGTGCTGGAGTCTGGGAGTTTGTTCCGGCAGCACGGTGGGGATCGGTTCTGTTTGGCGGTTTTGCCGAGCAATTCCGAGATGATGAATCTGTCTGTGATTGGGGTTTTGGCTCAACAGAACTATAATGTGGGTTTTGATCTTGAACAGATGAAGGTTTTCTTCCGTAGGATTGATTGTCAGCTTCTTGGCGACTAACTTCGTTGCTGCAGCTTTACAAAGTTGGTTCAGAATGTTCAGTTGAGGGCTGGTGTTCACAAACTTCATATTTCATCAATGCCCAAAATCAAATATATGTTTTTCAAATTTAGTACCTATGGTTTAAAAAGTCAGTTTAGTATCTTATGTTTTAAGATTCTTATCAAGAGGTATATAGTAGAAAGAGGGTAAGAGAGGCTCGGAGAGCAACCCGTTGGCTAGAACGGGGTTAGAATAGCAAGATGCAGAATGTAGGTGTACATTGAGTCTGGTTTGGTTATTGGTCAAAATGAAACTATATCCTGCCAAAACGTCACGAGTACATCATATAACAAGAAGGTGTTTCTATGTAGCGCAACAATTGTCTTATATGAGACTCGAGATATTCCTCGCTCTATGACATGACTCTATAAACTTGGATAGGTTGCTACACTTTATATATAATATATATATATATGTATCAACATTTTATATAGAAGCGTATGCTTCTATCACATTTCTCAATTATATCTTTCTTATTAAAATCGATTGATTACAAGTTTGTATGGTACGATGCTATTAAGTTGGTTAGATTACTTAATAAGAATGAAAGTGATAATGTTTACCAGATATTCAGATGAAAAATTAGAAACTCTTGTCTCACTAAGTATTTTGTCGTGTAAGTTTATCATCAACCAATTTTAGAAATGATATAATTGAAAAATGTGCAAGCATTGAGAACTAAATTGGAACTTTTTAAACAGTATCACCCAAAACATTAGGAATCAGCTAGCCTTTTATCAAATCTATGACTCCTTAATAATAAATAGTTACATTACAACATGATGTTGTGTTATTGTACAAAAAATTTAGTGGGGAAGGATTAGGAATATGTTCATTTGGGCACAAAAATGGGAGCTGGTGGGACARTTTTTTGGATGGGTGTGCAGTCCCACCCACCTTCTTTGGTATGAGAAAAAGTAAAGTGCTTAGGAACCCAAGTCTCACCTTTGGATGCCATTTCTCTTGCAACCTCCCTTTGTTTCTCCTCCATGGCTCTCTTTGCTTTTCTTGCTGCTTCCCAGTCCTTGTTCACAATTCCTTGGCTCACCTCACTCCACACAACTGCTGATTCACTTTCCCACACACCCTGTTCAACATTAGAGGAAGATGTTCTTCAACTCACCAATTTCATATATGTATATATACTGACTGATTCGCATATTTTGCTTAATGGTTCAAGTCATGTGTTTGATTATTTAAGAACTTGAACAAGCTTAGAGAGTTAAGGCTAAGAAAGTTGATTGTGGCAAATATGATACCCTTGGATCTTGAACTGTAGGAGTTCTCAGCCTCCAAATGTTTTCTTTTGCATTGTATATGACCGTGGCTTCTCCGCTCTGGACGTTCTTCATTGTGACGATTCTGTGATATGAATTGGACGAACATTAGAGGAAATTAGTTGGTTAGAACAGTTTGGTGATGAAAGAGTATAGTGCATAAGAAGAGAACAGAGGACTTTCTTTGGTTAAAGCATAAACTTCCAAAGATGTGAAATCTCAGAGAATAGCAAACTAGTGATGATTCCAAACTGAGATGTTAAAACGATATTTAGCAGTAGAATGTTAGATTACCTGTCCCATTGACCATCAATCTCGTAAAGAGGTTTCGAGGACGAGGTATCGAAAATCTTTCCTTTGATTGATCTGGCACTTCCTCTTAGACCAAAGAAAGAAAGACCTTTGCAGCGTAAATCGGCTTCGAGACTGCTGTCTTGGCACGCGATTCTGATATTACCACTCCATTCAGCCCCAGGTGTTGGAAGAAATTTGAACATGAGATTTGGAGCATTCATAACATAAGTTTCTCCATGATTTGGAAGTCTCAGCTCTCTCTTGCCTCTTACTTCCACCTCCACCGATGTACCTACAAAATTTATACGATATAAGTGGTGCTGATTTCCTTGGATTCATATTTATACTCTCAGCCTGATTGTTACTCAAATATTTTGTTTGGACCAACTGACAGATTAATCCATTATGCTAAGACAAGGCATTCTGAACTGCTAATTTACATTTTCCACTAATACTGATAATCTATTATATCAAGATAAGTGGAGATTTTAGGTACCATAGAACTTGGCCACAGGCTCCTGACACCATATCATTTCAAGGTTTTCCTTTTCGTCAGTAGCATGGAGGGCACTCACTGGTGGATGATGTGAAATCTGCCTCGAATTTCCGAACAAAGAGTCAGTACAAAGAGGGTAAGGGGAAGATTTCTAGTACTCCCATTGTATACATTCCCTCCATTCACACTGATCTCACATCATTCTTAAATGAAATCATGCTGACGAGACTGACAATGAATAGGAGTAATAGTCATACAACGGTAGTATAGAAAACTTTTTCGAGAGAAGATATGGATAAGTATGAGGAACCTGCTCGAGTAGAACGTTTAGGGAGCCTGCTGAAGCATGATGAGTCTCCCCGAGAATTGGGTTGAAAGGAGAAATACCAAAAGTGAGAGGGCGAATGTTAGATATGTTCCATGCTACCACAGCCACAAATCTGTCTAATGGATTCTTCCCACGGTTGCATTTGCTTAACATGTCCTCACTGAAGCAATACACAGATTCTCCATAACATTGAAGTTGTGATTTTGGCATGTTGAACTGTGGGGGCACCTGAAATTTTTACACTTTTATCAGTAAAACTCATGCTTTCATTTGTTTATATATGTAACAACCCTTAAATTTTCATGATTTAAGTTAAGTAATAGTTTGTAAAAACTAAGCACATTGTTTAATGTGATTACGAACTCATTATAGAGAAAAAAAAAATTAAAGATAGAAATGTGTTTTTTACTCATCATTTATGAAACCGTGTTTGTAAAATTATCCAAACTTTGTCAAATACTTGAGATAGCATTAGTGTTTAACAATTTTTTTTTTTTTTTGGAGCATTAGTGTTAACATTTAATTAATATTTGTTATATTTAATGGATTTTTTAAATTATTTTGAGAGAAAAAAAATGTAACAGATATTATTTATTAAAAAAAACAGTCTGATGACGAAATTAATTGAACAAATACGAAAACTTGAAGAGAGAAAATTAGTTACCTTAAGGTGAGATAGATCCGATCCTGGCCGTACATCTTTAAAGAGGCTGAGGATTCGTTGGAGCAAGTTGGGAGCCCTGTAATCGGCCGCATCGGATCCCCCCTCCAAAGACACAGGCTTCGTTAGAGTAATTCGCCTCACCTCCCTTTCCGTGTCCTCTCCCGCACCCTATTAAATTTGGCAGAGTATTTTATCAGACCAAAATTTCCTAATCCCACGCGCGGGTAGTAGGCGCGTCGTAGTCCACGCCCTTAAGAAAAAGAAAAGCATTTCTCACGTGCGGCTCGGCTACTTTGACCGTTGACAAATGGGTAGTTTAGAACTTTGATGGAGGCTCCATCAATACGTAGGAGATATTAAAGTCCCATGTGATATTCTCTTATTTCATCCTTTTTTAAATTATGTAATCAGTTCTTCATTGAATTTTTTTTTTAACAATATATTCTTAGAATTTATACAATACCAACCACCTGTCATTAAAATAGTCCACCTAAATTTTGTCGCTAAATTAATAGATATCACCTACAAAAAGTGTACAAAGCCTCGTATGGTAAAAATGAGGATGAAATAACTTTTTATATACACAATTTAAGAATCAAAACAAAATATATGAAAATGGAAAATTTGTTTTTAAAAATAATGTGTAGTTTACTGATATCAAATATTATTTTTAAAAGTAAAACTATAGTTTGAATAAAAGAAGTATGGTAGTTTCTTAGTACAATTTTTCAAATAAACCAGACAACCACATCCGACGCTGAGGCATTAATTATCTGAAATAGACATGCCCATGTGGCAGCATTTCAGATATAGATAATAACTCCTTAGTTGGGATACCTTTGGGTCCTTATCCAACATTTAGTTCAACTTAGAGTAATTAAGAATTGCCCCACACACTTCACTATTCAAACTAATGGAAGCATACCAATAAAGTTATCCAGATATAAACCCGTTTATTGTTTTATTCTATATAGAGAAAATGAAAAGGAAATTATCCATGTAGATAATGTTTTTCTCTAGTCAAACAGTTGACTTGGTCCCCCTATCTACTAAGACAAATATTTTTCATCACTAAATTCATAATTGAAATATTATACGATGAAAATATACAAATAAAAATAGCTATAGTAGATATACAAAGAGGTCATTAATTAAGGTTGATGAATACGTGTAACTGTAGATAAAATGTAGCATTTTTTTTAACAAAAAGCTAGAAAAGATAAAGTATTTAATGTATATATATAGAAAAAATAAATAATATTGAACGCAAAAGTAGTCAACAACTTTTAATTATTGGGTTGTTCCTTTGCAAAGTACTCTCTTAGTTTAAAAAATTGTGCTCATATAAGCCCTACATAGTAGCTGTTTATTGTATTGTAACCTACTTTTGAAAATATTGTAAAACTTTAACAAAAATTTTAAAGCTAAATGAATAAATATATAGTTTTCAGAAAGTTTTTTTTTTAATATATAATTTGACTAAAATTTCAAAAATATTTTTTTACAAGTAAAATTTTGGTTAAAGAATTTGTTATAGCAAAGAAGCTTAATTATTAAAAAACTAAGAACTAACATTTTAATCGTTTTAAAATAAGATTTCATCTAGATGTGTAATAATGCATGCTAAGATGTCAATTCTAAGTTCCCAAAAACTCAACGACGTTGAATAGTTCAAAACATTCTATACTCTAAAATCAAGTGTTTATTTTGTCAAATAACGTCACTATCATGACCTACCAAGATTCATTTAAGATTATTCGAAAAAAAATAATAAAAATAAAGGTAATAATTTGTCTCCTTCTCTACAAACAATTTAAAGGGAATAAACTTTTTATAAAATAAAAATTCTATTATTCCTTTTAGATTTCATGTTACCCCAATTTCGTGGTAATTTAAGAAATGAAAATTAAGTTTATGAACATTTTTTCTGTTTTGTTATTGAAATTTTAAATATATTTTTAAAACAATAAATAAAAAACATACAAAAAAATAAATAGCAAACAAACATAATTTAAAAAAATATATACTAAAAATAAAATAGTGAATATAATTGAAAAGGTGTGTCCACGTGGCATCAAATAAATGGATTTCGAAACGTTTTTTTTTTTTCGTTCTTGCGTTAAGGCAGGCCACGTGGGTTGCAGAACGGCTAGTACATTGTGCAAGAGAGTGGGTGTCTTTAGTATTTTCTAAATTCAACCATGACCAGTCAGATCCAATGGATCATGAGCAATAACTAGTGGTTATTTATTTATTTTTTAAAAACCTATTATATACGTAGGATCTATTCCAGATTTTTAGTACTGAAATTTTTTTGTTCATTAATTAGAAGCTCGAGATTTTTTATCTCGAACTTAGGATTCGTTTATTTCATTCTATAAACTCAAACCTATAAAACTTGTCTTTATACTTTTCTTTTTTCAATGGAAATTTTATGTTATTCTCTATTTACTAATCAAATTCGATTGGCCTAAGACATTACTTAGAAGTAGGAGGTTCGAGTTCCCTCACCTATTTTTTTACCTTATTCAAAACAAACACAAATTACACTTTTTATTCGAAGAATCATATTATACGAACTCAAGGCTTTTTAACTTTATACTTCGTAATAAAACTTTATACTTACTAAGACCATAAGTCCAGCATCTCCCTCCTAAACATATAGTGTAATTAGAAGTTTTTTTTTTTTAGCATCAATTTAAGTTCCCAATTTTTGTTCTTACCCATCCATCTTTTAGGACCATAGTTAAATTTTTGAAAGTTGGATAGAGAAATACAAAAATAATATATTTTTATTTCTTAAAATTGTCAACTCTTTATAGTTCCCACAAAGATGGATGGATACTAATTGATAAAGATCTAAATATTATTCATATGTTATAATTGTTACGAGTCTTTTAATTTTCATTAAAATTTATTTATATCAATTCGAGGGAAATGCTTTAGATATTTATAACTTTTCTTTTTCTCTTAAATACAATAGTTAAGGAGGTTAAGATTTTAACTCATGACTTTTTAGTCAGAGATATATGTTAATTACAATTAAACTAAGCTTAGTTCATGTTAGCGGATATTCATAACTTAAACCATAATTAAGTATATGTAATGGTATCGGCTATGAACGATTTTTACTAAATAAGGCTACAAAAATTTAATTATAAAGCTAACGATGAGCTTCGCACTAAGTCTAAAAATTAAAAAGAAAGCACATAAAAAAGGGGAAAATAATCCAAAAAAAAAAACGAAACGAACGTCAAAGTTAAGCAATTAAAATTTAAAACCCTAAATTCAAAAGTTCGATAATATTTTAATAACGCAAAAAGGGGGAAAAGTAGCTGGCCGGCCGCGTGAACTCCCCAATGCCGCCAAAGACGGCGGTTCAATCAAGGGACCGATAATCGCCAATATTTAATTAATTGACGACAAATCCGAGATTCCGGAGTAAACCGGCCGGAAAACCGCGAAATACAGGGAGCGATTGGAGGTGGATTTGATAAAACAGCGAAATTAAGATTAATCGAAACAGAAAAATCTTAATTAAACGCTAGAGAGAGAGAAAGAGGAACATACCATATGCGGAATCGGTGAGCAGCGGTGCCGGAGGAGTTGCCGGAGCCGGAGAAGAGAGGCGACTGAGGAATCTCTGCGAGACGAAAGAGGAGGAAGAGAACTCGGAAAAAAGGAGTTGAGTTTGTTTATGTGGAAAGTGAATTAGAATTAGGAATCGAGAGAAAAAAGAGAGAGAGAGAGAGAGAGAATAAGAATTTTGGCAATTTAAAGGGATTGGCCAATGGGACGTACAGAACAATGCCCGGTGGTGGTTGCCAATGCCTTGCCATTTTATACTATTTATTACCACAGCAATTTAAATAATAATAATAACAATAATGTTAAGGAAAATAATATGCAATTTTTTTATTTTGATTGTTGTGAACAAGTTATTTATTTTAGTGGGGCCCACTTGATCATGATTTTATGTTTACATTTTTGTTCTTTTTTTTAGTTATGTTTATTTACTTTTAAGAAAACAATTTTGAAAAAATGTCACCGAATTTTCAAAAACTAAAGAACAAAATACATGGAAAGTGGTTGGAGGAATTAAATGCCTGCTATGGAAATTTTAATTAAAAAAAATATATATTTGGAAGTAGTTCCCAAAGAAGACCTATTTGTAAATTAAACTTAAATTTCAAATGGTTGTCAAACATGCCACAAAATCAATTAGCTATATTAAATAATTAACTCTATCACGTAATTTCCATGAAATGATAATAATAATAATAATAACAAATAACCATGCATTTTCTTTTACAACTAAAAATTATGTTTGAGATCTTACTCTATCTATGGTCCAATTTAGAAAGGGAAAAAAGTACAAATTTATGTATATGTTTTTCTTCTTTTTTTTTTTAAAAAAAAAAGTAAAGGATACCAAAAACATTTATGACGAGAACTAAAAGAAATTATTGTTTATGTTAGTTAAGTCAACATTGATTTCATAAATCCGTGTTTATTGACAAGGACTAAAAATAATTATAGTTTGAAATTTAGTATACAATTGAGATATTTTAAAATTTGAGGACTAAATAATGAAAACGTGTAAGTTAACCTACCGAAATTATTAATTGACATCCTACAAGGTGATCCAAAACAAGTTACTTAGGTACCAAATTCACTTATGGACCCAATCACCTCATTTACACCTTTGCTAGAAATATTATAATAATTTCCCCTATAAAATAGAAATATTATAATAACAAAGAATTTTCTCAAGATAATAAATGTTCGGCTAAATTACAAAATAGAAATGCCCCAAAACATTGCCCTCTGTTGCAAAAATACCACCATATATCTCTTCCATCTTATCAAAAGTTTCAATATTATCCTTACAATTTTTCAAATATTTTTGAACGAACATTGGTTAATATTTTCAATAGATATTTTACGTGATATCTAGATAAAGATGTGGCAATTAACTTGAACGTTGATTAAGTTTTCAAAATCAAGGTAATGTTAATTAGCACGTCGTTTTAAATTCTTAGATATTCTTAAAATATTTATGAAAGGTCAATGATATTATTGAAACTTTTGAAATAGTACGGTCATATTTTTTAAACAAATGACAAAATTCTCAAGTTTTTTTTCCTAATTTAGCCTCTATGTTTTTTTATTTAACTTTCTGTTTTTGTTTTTGTTTTTTTAAACTATTTTGATGAATGATGATAAAACAACAACAATCTGAACCTAATTTATTTTCATAAAACAAAGGGTAAATGTCTTTACTGTAATATAAACAAAATGTCGAGGGTTTGTTTGAGAAAAGGTTTTCATTATAAATTTTGGACGCTAATTATCACATGTCACGTGTCAGTATCAAATGTTGTATTTTGTAAAATAATAGGAAGAGTCAACCACACCTGCCAATTGATTCAAGCTTGACAACTCGGCAAGATGAGAAGTTGAGTTGATCTGCATTTTGTCTATCGAACAACCTTCATCAGGTACGAGCCGACTTTGAAGAGCACCTGCATGCGCGAAGACAACAAATAACGTTCTTTGACAACATGCCACATTTCCTAAACGATCGAAGAGTCGTTGGAGTACTGTCAGAAGCCTTATAGGGAGCTTATCTCTATAAAATAGAGACCCCTGCATCCCACCATGAAACTATTGTCTCTAGAATAGTAGATCAAACTTTGTACTGACAAGAGCGTCGGAATGCTAATTTTGTTTTACATATACTTCAAACTTTGGTACACCTCATCCAAGCTTTGCAAATCCGAACTTAGTCGATTTCATGATCGAACAACAACTTTCTACTTTTCCTTCTTAAAGTTTGCTTTTCAAAACCTTGATTTGGATCAACTCATAAATATACAATATGATTATTCACCACATATATAATATAAATTTTTGGGAGGAAGAACAATTTTATTATTTGAAAGAAACTCAGAAGAGTGGTAAAATTTTAAAAGTCTTTGTAAAGGATTACAAAACAATTTTAATAGCATAAAACTTAATTTTAAAAAACAAATTATCCACAATTAAGCTCTCGCAGGATAACAGTCCCATTTTAATTTTCTATCTTCAAAAATTAGGTTTTGCTTTCTCCCAATATATTCGATTATATATATATATATATATATATAAAGTTTTCAAAACACTATTTTTTTAATTTTTAAAAATTTGACTTATGTTTTAAAAATATTTATGAGAAATCAATGATGAGACAAGGTAAGGAAGTATTGTTTTAAGCTTTATTTAAAAAAACAAAAAACAAAAAATAATATTATCAAACATAAACTAAAGTTAAACAACTTAAGATTTTACTTTTTAAAAAGTAAATGAAATAAACAAACCGATAACTAATTAGCCAAATTTTATGTTATTTATCATGTAACTAAAATAATCAGCCACATTATTCCTTTACACACAAATAAAATTGGTTGAGAAAACTTTTTCCCAAACACATTTTTTGTACTAACTAAATCTTTTGCCAGATTCAAATGTAAAAATATATATAATATGAACTCTTTTGTGACTTGTCAAGAAAAGGAAAATATATATGACAAAACCCTTTTTGTGACTTGTCTAGAAAAAGAAAGAAAAAAAAATAGTGGATAAGTTTTAAAAAAGAATTAAAAAAAAAAGAAAGAGAAAGAAATGTCTTTTCATCAACGTTATGTGACTAATGAGAAAATTATTTATTATTATTTTTTTAATCCATACACGAAGATTTGAATTCACGACACTTGAGTTTTTTCTTTTGTAAGTATAAATTGCCAAAATAAGCATAGCTCAGCAGTAATTGATATATATCTTCAATGAACAGATTGTAAGTTCGATGCTCACCCCCACTTATTATAAAAAACATATATATATATATATATCCAATAGTTTTCAAAAAAAAATGAAGCAAAATCGAAATATAAGTAAAATAATATTACTTTCTTTTATTCCACCCATCTCAAAGCCAAAAATTTTAGAAATAAACGAAGTATATAAATTTAATATTTTAGGCTTTTTTGTCTTTTGATTGACACCTTGAGATGGTATGGATTGTAACGAAGGAGGAAGGAAAAAGTTGCCGTTTGAGGACATTTTTGGGACAATAAATTTAACTCGTTTTTGACGCATATACCCTCCAACAAAACTAAAATTTCCAGAACTACCTATTGCATTTAATACTACAACGTCAATTGTACTATTTATATAAGAACTACTCAAATTTAAAGTACTACACTTCCCACTTGGGCTTGTACGTTTTCTGTTACATTTTGCCAAAAAAAAATAATAATAATAATAAATTTTTATTTGTTTATGTTAGGACAAATTTATGTTACGACAAATTTATCTAGTGTATCAATTTTCATCCTAAACTCTTATTTTCATTAAATTAAATCTCAAATTTAGATGATTAATGTAACTTTTACTATCTATTAAATTTATGTTAATTCACCTATTATATTTAACAAAAAACAATAATTTAAAAAACTTCTAAAAATCAGTAATTTAACGAAAATTTGACATTGCACAAAATCAAGTTCGATAAATGCACAAAATCAACTATTAAATACCGTCCAAACTTACAAATTTCAACAAAAAAAATTCTAATATTTTTGTCCAAATTCTATCAATTTCGTGATAAATCTACGTTTTATAATTCATTTAACACAATACTTTTTTCAACAACTTTCGAATGAAAACTTACCATTGGTAAAAACTGCTGCATTTTTTAAAACTTACGGTGAAAGATTGCAACACTCACCAATATGATGAAATTGAAAGTTTGTGGTTAAAATTAATACATGTTTCTATTAAAAAAATCAATTACATACAAAATTAAAAGTTCAAAATTAATTAGACATATTTAAATTAAATGATACATTAGACATAAGAATTAAAAATTTAAAAATTTACTACATAGTGTCTATGACTTTGTTTCTCAGGAAATCCGTGCAACGGAAGATCCGGAATTTGAGACTTTATATACCAAAATATTCTCTTAAACGAAGGTAATCGTGCTTGGATGGCGGTTCAAGATCAGCCTCATGAAAACCTTATATTCCCTGAGGAGGTTCTACCTGTGGAAATGCTCTTTAATGGAACTTTAGCTTTAGCTGGTCGTGACCAAGAAACCATCGATTTCACTTGGTGGGCCGGGAATGCCCAACTTATCAATTTATCTGGTAAACTACTGGGGGCTCATGTAGCCCATGCCGGATTAATCGTATTCTGAGCCGGAGCAATAAACCAATTCGAAGTGGCTCATTTCGTACCGGAGAAGCCCATGTATGAACAAGGATTAATTTTACTTCCCCACCTAGCTACTCTAGGTTGGGGGTAGGTCATGGTGGGAAAGTTATAGACACCTTTCCGTACTTTGTATCTGGAGTACTTCACTTAATTTCCTCAACAGTATTGGGTTTTGGTGGTATTTATCATGCACTTTTGGGACCCGAGACTCGGTTATGTGTGGAAAGATAGAAATAAAATGGTATTCACTTAAGTTTGTTAGGTATAGGTGCTTTTCTTCTAGTATTCAAAGCTCTTTATTTAAAAATTACCAACTTGACCCTTAGCCCAAGAATTATATTTGGTTATTTACTAAAACCTCCTTTTAGAGGAGAATGATGGATAGTTAGTGTAGACGATTTGGAAGATATAGTTGGGAGCATGTATGGTTAGGTTCCATTTGTATACTTGTGAGGGATTAAGCCGTTAAATTAGTTATTTAATTACACAAATCTATTACAATAACTAAAATAATTTGTCGGTAATCGCTAAAAAAAGAGAG